GGAGAAACTTGGTCCGATGCATCTAATGGGCTGTCTGCGAGTTGGCGGACGTGCTCTCGGGACGGACCAATCAACTTGCTGGCCGCGCCACTGTATGGCCCCAGAACGAAAGCGCGCCAAAAGCGAGCCGGACCTCCCTTCCGCAATGCGAAAGCCCACTTTGGAAGATTCCAAATATGAGAAACGCAAACAGAAACTCGCCGAAACTCCATGTTTTTGCTAGATAGCGCGCAGAGTGCATGTGCCGAGAAAGGGGATACTTTGGTGCGTGTTGTTTACTTTAACTACCTTTCCCTAAAGCCCCAGCCCGGTGCGGGCCCGCTAACGCTTGGCGCGAGAATCCCTTGGCCGCTGGGGTAATAAACCAAAGGCAATAAGGTCCCTCGGGCCGCGACACGCTTCGGCCCGTGCGTCTGAAGGCGCTGGAACAATACGTGCCGGATACCACGACCGCCGCGGCGACCGCCCCACCCTTTGTCATGCCAACGAATGCACCCCCACCAGCCTGATCCTCTCCAGGCAGCGCTCCTTTGCAGGCGAGCCGGGTCTAGTCACGGCAGAGCCGAAATGTAATTACTGAAATCCGTGAACTATGTGCCAAGATCCAATCCGAACAGAAATTAGCTTGGTTCTGGTCGCCCCCTTTGTGGCCCGCGAATCGACGCGCGAGGCGAGAAAGGCCGCGCTGCGGTGCGCTGCGGTGCGAGGGGGCTGGATCCGCCCCTGGGTGCGACTGAAGGGGTCGCTCCGTCTCTGTCGCACTCATGGACCGCGCCGTACAGGGGTGCGACAGAGACCCCCGAGGAGCCGCTCGGCTGGCTAATAATCGGAGAGACACTCGGGAAAAGTTCGGACTCATTGATTATCATCGGGTTCAAGACGGCGAGGTCGGTAAGCCCGGCGGGCTCCCGCGGGCCGCGAACTCGCGCCGTTGCGTTTATCACGCCGTCTACTTTATTTCGGGGAGGATAATTTGACAAGTTTGCACTTTCCACGACCCCCGTGCCTCTGCGTGTTTCTTAAGGCAAGACTTCAAATTTCAGGGCGTCAAAACGAGGGTTAATTTTTAGATCGTTCTCTCTTCCCATGATTCTAATTCCTGCTCCAGTAGACTGGAAATTTAATTTTAAATTAGAAGTAAGTTTTAAGATACGGACGGGATAAATGTTTCGGCCAAGTCCAGCTTGTCGCAGAGTCAGAATGAACAGTGACTCCCTGGCTGTGCCTCGCTATTTTCATGCCGGCGAACTCATTACTTACTCATTGTTGCCCGCACAATTGGCCGCTCGATGTTGCGCCGTGTTTTGCACCTCGGATTTGACAATCCAGAGCGGACAGCGCACTGCCAAACTGTCTTTACCCTCCACTGTTGGCGGACTCGCTGCCACGCTGTCTCGGTCCTTTTGTCGCCGCCAGGTCAGGCCGCCCGGCTGCTAGCTCGCCGAATTAGAACCGGACTGTGGCTTTGCGACCCAAACCAACTCAAAACAACAACAATAACAACAATGACGGCGAGACCGCAGCAGCGCGCTACACATCGTCCGGATAAACCTCGGATAAAACGAATAAGATTCACTCCGCTTTGCCGCTGGCTGGCGTTGGCTGGCGCGGGCTAGGCCGGCCATTTGTGAGGCATATTTTGGAGGACGGATGTAAATAAAACCTGTTGCAACCCAATAAGCGGGACGCGGCGTGGCGAGGCGTCCCCGTGGGTCCAATTCAATTTCACGCAGCCATTCGGGCGGAGCAGATGTAATCTGTCTACAGCCAAAATAAAACAATATCGTCGTCGTCTCGCCCTGCAGTGGAGGCGCTCGGTCGACGGCCTGCCGGGGCCTCGTGCCGCCAGGGCTGTGTCGTCTTTGCTGAGTTCAGGCAGGTCAGACAGTTACACCACGTCCGGCCAGGTTACACAACTGCCTCCGCTCTTGGCAGTGTTGAAGCAAGTGTCTTCACTGCTAGGTGTTGTCCAGCTCTGTTGACGCTATCCCTGTTGGGTTAGGTCCTGTGTGTTTGTGCTGGCTTCTAATTGCTTCATTGTTATCGGATCGTCTCGCGGGCCACCCCACTGTGTATTTGGCTCCGCGCCGTGCCCGTCTGTACCACGCGAGAAGCAGACTCCCCCTGGAGTCTGCCGGCCCGCCCCTGCCGGCCCTGAAGGACGCGTCCCAGAAACCCTCTGCAATATTTAATACGATCGGCAATTGGGATCAGGGGAGGGGGCGGGGGGCCTCGGGGGCGGCGGGGGCCGTGGGGGTGGGCCAATGCCTTCACACCTCGTGCAAGGTTCGCGCCCTCGTAAAGTCCGCCGGGCCCTCCGTGCCTCCGTGGCGCAGTGCAGCTCTCTCTCTCTCTCTCTCTCTCTCTCTCTCTCTCTCTCTCTCTCTCTCTCTCTCTAGAAAGTCAACTAAGAGTGGGCGAAACGGCTTAGCCAGTACAATGCGGGGAAGTTGGATACACATTCGCCATGATGCACTTCCGAAAGTCTTCCAGAACGTCAGCCGCACTGACCGCCAAGGCGGCCAAAGCAAACACACCGGCCGGGCCGAAAACACCAGCAGGCCGGCTAATTTATTATTTTCCGAGGGTCCCTGCTGCAGCAGCAGCAGCACATTGCTGGCGGAGAACAAAGCCACGGCCCGGGCGGCGGGACGAGCCAGGGCCAGGCGACCCCATCCAATAGGGACGAGACCGGACCGAGAGGGTCCTCCTTGGAAGTTACACAAAGTGGGAGTGACCGGCCGCGGAAGTGCGAGGGGGGAGTGGGGGGGAGTGGGGGGGAGTGGGGGGCGTCCGACCGGAGCAATCAATTCGCCAATCCTTTATGAAGAGGGCCAGGCAGGGCGACGCGCATGCCGGCGGTATGAAGGCGGCCGGGGCATCCCGGAAGTCGCCGTAAACATAAAGCGGAGATAAACCTCGCGCCATATCAGTGGCGGGGAATGAACACCCCCAACTTTATGCCTCCTTTTCCGCGGCCACGCCGCACTTGACGCCGGCCGTGCACTAACCCCATTCGACTCCCCCTCCCCCCACCCCTCACCGCCATCAGTGCCAATTTGCACCCAAACCGCAGCACACTAGTTTACCCCTCCTCCCGGCCCACCCTTGGCGGGGCTGCATCTAGCCGCAGTGAAATATGGGGAGCGCCTAATTCGAGACGAGCAGATCGGCCGACCGAGCAGGAACGGCTGCAGCGCCAACAACAACAACAAGACCGGGAATGCAACAGCAACAAGACCGGGAATGCGGCTGCGGGTGGCCGCCGCGGTGTCCGGCCGTCCTTCGGAGGGAAATGGTAATCGAACGGCGGGTCGTTTAACCGCAAAACAGCAAGGCGGTGAGGTTGGTGGTGGGGGCGGGGTCGCCCCAAGTGCGGATTTACAATTCCAGCGAGCATTAGCAAACATGAAGAACGACACAAACAGATTGATGGCCCGACGGACGGGCGGACGCGGCTTCGTGACCCCGGAAGAGACTGACAGACAGACAGACAGACAGACAGACAGACGGACGGACAGACAGACAGACAGACAGACGGACGGACGGACAGACAGGCGGACAGGGACGGTGGACAGCACCGCGCCTTTGTGGCGTGCGGACAACAACCAACCACCTAGCCAGCCCGGCACGGCCCGGCCGGCCCGGCATCGCCTGCCATTGTTGTTGCTGGTCCGCTTTGTTGTTCTTGTTGATGCTGATGAAACATACCGCCTTCTCCGCGGGCATCTTCGCCGGGTACGGAGCCTCCTTATCAAGGGGCGTCTTGTCCACGCGGACGCCAGGGCAGGCCGGAGCCGTGCTGGAGCCGTGCTGGAGCGAGCGCATGCCTTTGTAGTCCGCGCAGCCCCATAGCCAGAACAGGCCAGGTGAGCCTCAGTCCTCGGCCTCCCTGCCCCCGGCCTGCGACGGCCCCCAGGCTTCGAGTGCAGCACCCGCCAGCGCGCTCCTGCCCGCTCCCTGCACCGAACGCGACGCGGCCGGCTGCTGGAGGCCGATTTAGTACGTCGCTCACGGCAGTTATTATTGGAAAGAGTTTCATCAACTCGACCAAATTAGTCAGTTCTTGTCGCGCCGACTTCGGCCAACGCACCGATAACTGAATCAAAACTTTTGCAAGGCGATAAAAACGGAAAACGGACTTCCAGAGTTACCGGACCCCCATAAAAAAAATTAACGGAGCCGTTTCATATGTAATTATTTTGCACGCAAGTTTTAACCACCCATTCGTTACGCGTTTCGCTTGCTTTACAAGGCGCTCGTAAAATTTAAAAACCGAAACAACCTTCGAAATTTTGTTAGTGTAGTAAGTGTAGTAAGTGTTATGAACCTGGGCGTGGCAACGCAAGCGCTCGTGCTTTGGAAAAAATAAAGAGTAACTGACCCCACCGTCGTTTGGCCGCTGCGAGCGCCCGGTAAAATGACGACCCACCGGACGGACACTGCGCGGCTCTGCGTTGTCCAGCGGCGCGGCGACTGTCTGGGGAAGACGCCGCGAGGGCGGCGCGGACGCGGCGCGGACGCGGCGCGCATTAAAACGGGATTACGACGTCTTTCACTTATTTTTACTGGCATCGCTCGGCCGGCCAAAGTTCGTGCCCTCGTTCCGTTTTATCGGCTGCCGAGACAAGGGCGCCACTCTCGGAGGCGGCCCGCTAAAGAACCCCAAGAGCCTCCGTGGCCAGGATTGGCCGCAGCTTCGGAGACAGTGTCCGCTCATCCCGCGCTGCATGCAGGAGACTCACTGCGAGAGGCGTCACTCTGTCTCTCTCGCACCCATACGGGTTGCCCCGAGTGCGAGAGACAGAGCGACGACTTTGTGAATCAGTCTGCCCCGCAATGGTGCACTCCACTGCTTTCTGCCCAGACTAACTCGAATCCGCGAGAGCCACGCACCTCTTTTCAGCGGCGGGGCGGGTGTGACACTGTGAAAAGGGGGTGGGGGATGGAACGGCCAGCAAAGAGCCAGCAGCAGTGCGAACTAACGGCAAGGGCAGTACCATGAAGTAGTGACAGAGAAGCAGGGCAGTCTGAGACAGGCATGAGTGGTATCGTGAAGCGGTGATAAAAAGCAATGCCATGAAGCGGAGTTCCATGAAGCGGAGTTCCATGAAGCGGAGTTCCATGAAGCGGAGTTCCATGAAGCGGAGTTCTATGAAGCGGAGTTCCATGAAGCGGGGTTCCATGAAGGCGAAGGCGTGAAAACGAAGGAAAGAGGTTCTGCAGGTGGGAGCGACAGAGAAACTTCCCCGACGATTCCACGTGCGGCCAATTACGGCGTGGCAAAGAAATAGACAAGAAAAGGCTCGATCCGCAAGGCGAGCACGTCGCCCAACTAACAGGCAAGTCGTCAATGCGAAAGGGTCGCCGTCGTCTTTCCGAGGCGTCGCTACACGTGGTACAAGTTTGAGGTTCCACGGAGTAAAAAGGCAATCACGAGGAAGGGCTGTTGTAAAAAATGTCAGCAGCCGCGACAGAATGGGCCAGGAGACCGGTGGAGGCGGCCAAAACTCTAGACGCGTTTTGAGCTCCAGAGTCGCTAAACGGGACTCGAACGGGATGTGTGACCCCACCAGTGGATTCCTCGTTCGGAGAGCAATCTATTGGTGGGGTCAAACATTAGGTTCGAAGCCCTTTTATCGGAGCTCAAAACGCGTCCGGGATTTCGGCCACCTCCGCCGGTCTTCTGGCCCACTGTGCACGGGGTAAAATTCACACCAGCGGCCGTCGACGGGCCGTCCAACACACTCGCAGCTTCACTCGCGGCTTCGTTTATTCATTCATTCAAATGCAGTATCAGTCCATAATAGGCCGAGGCTTGAAAAGCTTTCGGCCTTTTGTGGGGGCCATGCGCGGCCGGCGGGCCCCACAGCCCATGAATAATCGTTGCATTCGCACAATGCGCGGAGTATTGACAAAGTGGAGGTGATGTAACGCCGCAAACACCACCGCAATGTAAACGCGGCGAGTCGGCTGAGTGGCATGCACTGCCACCTCATGCTGACCCAACAACGTCGAACTTGGGCCCAAAAATACTGTGAACGGTGGGAGGCCTGAACCCTGGGCGTCCACATACTCGCTGGGGTTTCATTTATTTCTCCCGGGGCAGGCCAGTCAATAAGTAAGAGCCAAAATCGGGCGCAAGGGCTAAAGCCCCTTCGCCGGTCAACTCGCCGGCGAGCACAACTCCCCATTCCCTGGTTGACTCACGGGCCCTCTATACCGCTGTCGCGCGCACGCCGCAAGGACCAGGCCGCCCGGGCTCCAGTTCCTCGGACCCTTCATCCTTGAGGGCCGAGTTTTTAGTCCGTCTGGGAGTCCTGCTAGGGTTTCCGCCAAGGGAGCGGGGCCGGCGGGGCCACAACAGGGGGCAATGGATCCCCTGGCGCATTTCGCCTTTCGACACCCGAGCCGCGAGCCCAACCCAGCGCCCCACAGTGGGCCAGAAGACCGGTCCAGGCGGCCAAAACTCTCGGGCGTTTTGAGCTCCACAGTCACTGAGAGGGACTCGAATCGGACGTGTGACCCCACCAATGGATTGCTCTCCGAACGAGGAATCCATTGGTGGGGTCACACGTCCGGTTCGAGTCCCATTTACCGACTCGGAGCTCAAAACGCGTCTAGAGTTTCGGCCGCCTCCACCGGTCTTCTGGCCCACTGTGCGGCCCACCCCTTGCAAGGCCCCGCTCCAACTTTTTCTCCTTCATACACATCATCCCTTGGCCCCCGCCCCGCCGTCGGGCAGTAATTAATACTGGTGTCTTGAGCCAAGGGGCGCTGCCAGGGCGTTCCAGGGCGTTCCAGGGACATCCCGGAGGCTCCAGGAGCCGAGACAGCGCCAAGAGCCACCGCCCGTCTGCGATCTGCGAGCAGCGCGTGCCGCCCCGATCCGTGTTCGCAGCGACGGATGTCCGTTTACCACGTAACGCTCCGAGTCCACGCGCGGCCACCCACTGCCGGGACGAACGTCCATTTATTACGTAACGCTCCGCGCCGAGGTGCGCTCTGTCCCACCGGCGCCAGGGGCAGCACTAGGCAGCCCCAGGCAGCCGGGGGCTCTTCCGGGGGGGCTCACGAAGCAGAGGGGTAGGCTTTCGGGCAGAGATCCAGCGGTAAGGAGAACCCACTGTCTGGGAAACCAACATCATTTGCATAACATGAATGAGGGTCTGAGGGGGCTGTACGTAGAGTTGGGGAACCTTAGAGGCCGAAAATCGCTCGTGCGGCGCGGTGTCGCCCCGGCAGCCCCGCCAGCCCCGCCAGCAGCGCCGCGGAACCGAGTCCAACTCCGAGCTCCGCCCCACTGCTAGCCCCGGCCATGCCTCGGCCGGCCCCCAAGGGTTGATCCCGGCATAATGTGGCACGTCGCGGCACGCCCACGCAACGTTAAGTGTTTAATTCTCATTCAGGCGAACGAGCGGCGGCGCGGCAACGCGCGGCAACGCGCAGCATCGCCCCCTGGAGTCCGAAACTTAAGGAACAGTGGCGGACTGCCAAGCGGCGCCGCGCTCGCCAAGGAGGGCCCGGGGCGGAGAGATCACCTCGGCCGTCAGGCGCAGTCTGGGAGGGGGGGGGGACCGCTGTAAAATATCCCGCCTTTTAACTACTTTTGGTCACAGTCGCACACTTCGCACACGCGACTCGCCAACAGTGTGCACCGCGCCTTGCAGGCTTGCCAGCCTTGCTGCCAGATTGATTCGAGGTGGTGGGATGGGGTCGCCCAGGCCGGGCTCCAGGCCTCCCAGTCGCCTCCCTGCGATTGCCAACTCTCCCTCTCACAAGGCTCGCAGCGACGCAGCACGTCAAAGCTCCACGCCGAGCCGGGCCGGGTCGAGCCGAACCGAACCGGGCCGGGTCGAGCCGAGCCGAGCCGAGCCGGGGCCAGCCCGGGCCGGTTGCGCTCGCTACACGCTGGAATGAAAGCACTGATAGCGTCAAATATGCGACGATATTGCTCCGCTACTTGCCAATACGGCGGGCACGGCGGGCCCGGCGAGCCTGGAAACGGGGCCACTGGCAAACATGGAAGGCAGCACCTGACTGATCCCCGGCAGAGCGCGCCGGCCGCGCCGGCGGGCCACCAAAGAGCACGGGCAAAAAGATACGCTCCCTTTCCTTTTCGAAACCAGGAGGAAGAAAAAATGTTGGGGTCGCGGACACTGTTGGCTGGCAGACCCCGCGGTGTAGTGAAGTAGTTAATATTTATATTCCCCCGGGCAACGAGGATTTACTCGTGGAGCCCTCGTCCTTCGTCGCGTGATTTACAACGTCGTGTTTTTATTTCTTGTAAAAAAAAAGTTCATTGTTTTTATTTACATTTGTCTTTGTTTTCATCTTTAGCTTTGTTCGTCTGCTCTTTGCGTTAGTGCGAAGAAGCTGGTCGCTCTCGCACCGCCGAGGACGAGGCAGAGTACATTGAATGGAATCCTGGCAATTTTATTTCGATCGAAAGCAAAGTAACCGAAAGAGGAAAACACAAGCTCGTCGCCCTTTCCACGCGGGCGTTTTCCACTCGTCTGGTTCCGAGCGATTCTCGGATTCTCGGTACGTCCTAGCCCCCCACCCCTTTTCCACATTGCCGCGACCACACTGTAATGGAGAGCCCGGATTAATCACCCGAATGAACTCGCTACAGTATGAAACTGTGCGGACTGCGGGGTACGAAAAGAGGGAGGGGGTCGGTGGCGCAGTGCAGGTGCACGCGCAGGCCGGGCTGCTGCAGGGCGCCGCAGAGAGCCGTTTTCTGTCTCTCTCGCACTCGCGGGGCGTGCCGTAAGGGTGCGAGAGAGACAGAGAGAGGCCCTCGGCGTGCAGATGGTGCGCCGCCCGAACACGTCCGTCTCACTATTAATCAGAAGATGGGGCGACGGCGGCACGGCGCAGCCCGGCGCAGCCACGGACGCGCCAGATAGGTAATTACGTGTCGCGCTCGCACGGCAGTCGCCAGAGCCAAGAACAGCGCGAAAAAATCGTTTAAAATCTTTACTTTTTAATGACTTAAAGGGTTTTTTTTTAAGTTATTTGAGTGAAAAGCTCGTAAAAATGCTCGGGTTTTCCGGCCAGCCGCCCGGCAGGGTAGACCGGCCCGCAAGGCGCGCGTGGCGGCGCGTTGCCTACCCACTGTTCGTCGGGCGGCCGGCCGAGCCGAGGCGGGGCGTGCTTGGCAGGCACTTGCTTGCTGCTTTGGCTGCGGACTGGACCGGGCGGGTTGGGGGCCGCGGGAAAGACATGGAGGCTATGCTTCATGACAGTGGAGCCCGGCTGGGCGTAATGCGAGCGGACGGGCCGGTCCTGGCCGGCTTCAAGTTGTTCCTGCCCCGGCCGGCACACCGCAAGCCGTCGCAAAGTGGGCGGGGGCCGCCAAAACTCCAGACGCGTTTTGAGCTCCAGAGTCGCTAAACGGGACTCGAACCGAGCTCGTCCGGCGAGCAATCCATTGTTCGGTTCGAGCCCCATTTAGCGACTCTGGAGCTCAAAACGCGTCGGAGATTTTGACCGCCACCACCGGTCTTCCGGCCCACTGTGCGGCGGGGCCGGCGGACAGCCCCGGGCGCAGCGCGGCGGCGGGCGCTATTCCCCGCTGCTTTTCCAAATTCCAGACTTGAGATTTAGGAACGTTTATCAGCGTTTAACAGCGGAAGCATTAGCGCGGCCGCACCTCGCCTCGCAGTGCCGCAGCGCGCGAATAATTTATCTTTTCAGCCTTGCGGGTTTAATGAGGACTTTCCCATGAACCTCGCCCTCGCCTGGCGCCGCCCGTGAATTCAGCAAATTCAGTTTCATCAATTATTTCCACTTTTCTTTTGCGCGCGTTGCAGAAAAAGGGAGCGGGAAGGAAAGAACCGGTGCATGCGGTGCAGCGACGCATCGGCCCCATTTCGTCTGCTGTCTCTCTCGCACTCGCCGGCCGGCCGTAGGGAGCACCAAGGACAGAGCTAAGGAAAACGTTACGTCATAAGTGGACGATCCCTTTCGGCACGATTGCCGGTGGCAATCCCGGTTCCATCCGTGACACCCCCTCCCCCTCCTCTTGCAATCTGGCAGTGTGCTGGCCGGGCTGGCGGGGCTGGCAGCCAGCGCGTGTGCAACACTTAAGGCATCATTAGAGCCCCAACAAGGCTGAGCGCTGCGCGGGCACGCTCCCGCCCTCCAAGGGCCGAGCCCGGCCGCGCCGCACCCCGACGCC